TGTAATGTATAACAATGATAATAACAATAGGCCGGCAGAAGGTCTCTTCAACAGGGACAAAGTATTTATACGCATGCGGTAGGTTTCAAATCGAAATCGCGTCGAAAAATATCTTAACGGAAAATAGCCTAACTGACGGAAAGCGTCATCGTAAAATTGAACTTGCAGTTCTCATTCGAATTATAACCACAATGAGATTAACAATGAGAATTCGCACTCTGCAGTGTTTTTGCTTTTTCGCGTTACTTCTGTGATTGTGGACACGTTTCTCGCGGTTGAACATTTCAGAAAGCATGATAGAAATTTAACTAAGCAAACTAAGCACGGTCGCAATAATACGTACGAGGAAATGGACGGCGATAGTTCTAGGTAAATAAATAAAAAAAAAAAATTGCTCAAAAATGTATAAAAATCAAATCACGATTGAAAACCCTTAACCATATTCGGATTCGTAATCCTTAATCAGATCGATTAATCTTAATCAGATGATCGTCTGTCAACGATAGAATTGCATTTTCACACGATCGAAATACTGTATTACCCGTGCGGTCCGCAGAACGTTTGCGTTACAATAATAGTGACGAAACATTGTCTAAAAATGTTGTAGTCTTCAGCAGCTGCGGCTGGCGAACCGAAAACGAATCACAATGATATTGCGTCGCATTTTACTATCGCGTACGTACGAATTCGCGTATTCCAACGAATCTGTACAACGTCAACCGTGCGAGATGGGCTGCGAAAAATACATTGATTATTCTATTTGAACTAACGGCATCGCTTCGGCCACGTTGTTGCTGTTTCGGCCTCGGGGGGAGCCGAGAGGTCGTATAAAACAGTACGGATCGAGAAAGGAATTTTACCCCGACGACCAGTTTCTATGTTGCACCGCGTATAATAACGTGTCAACGCGGACCGGAAATCCGATTCTTGGGCGACTACCGAGAGGAATACGGGGATTCGCCTTCTGTCGTAACCTACACGAGTGGTAGTGAAGAGAGACGATCGCCTGAAAAACGTTCAGAAACGATTGCGCAGTAAACGGGAAATTATTTTCAGCGCGGTGGTATTACAATATCATAAAGGGATTCACGTCCAACGGAGAGGACGAAGAAATCTCTAGACTCAAGAGTGTCTTGCACGCAACGTTATCACTAGGGTTCGGAAGTTATAGGAGCCAAAAATGGTAAAATATATATGCAAATATGTACGAAAAAATGATAAAATATGCAAAAAAAATATTTATTTATTTATTAAAAGTTATTTAGTAAATTATAAAACCTTATATTTAAAAAAATTGTATTATTGAAAACTAAAATATGGCCGGTTGGCATTTGAGATTTTATTGAACTGAAAAAATAGTTATTTTAAATTTTATTTATTAAATAATATTTTCATTATTTGTGAAATACTAAATAAATAAATGTTGTATAATGCCTATTAAGTTGTTGCATTGAACTATCAATATTTTCGTTAAATTCATAGTAGACAATAAAAAATAACAATAAATAACCACGAAAAATAATATTGAGTTTTATATGATGCACGTTTTCTGCGTTATTAGCGTTGTGTTAAGTAACGTTATTTAAAATAAATTGGTTAAGAATGAAAAAAATTAGTTAATTAATTTTTTAGAAAATATTAAATATGCATACAAATATGCGAAAATCAATGATAATCGACGAAATATGAATTTTTTTTTCTAAAATTAATGAAATATGTAAAATATGCATTTTCAATTTTCAATTTTTAAACTCAACATTGTATAGCTCGGATTTCTAGCTTAGTCCGCCTATAAATTGAAATCATACAGAATAATATGCACCTCCTATAACTTCCGAACCCTAATTATCACGTACTACGCTTGCTGGTCACTTGATCTGAACAGAAAACGGCTATCACTGGTTCAGAGCATTCTCTGCGTTCAAACGGTAAAGCCCGCAATTATGTAGGGCATTCGAAAATGATGATAAATATACGTTTGAAATCCTTGAAACCGACGGTGACTTTTGTACTGTTCCTCCTTTGTCGCGTCCTAAACGTTGAGCACATATTCGATTGTTATGCATCGTACACGCGAGGAGCAAGAACAACAGACATTTGGCGAAAAAAACAAGAAAACGCGCAAACATAAGTAATGCAAATAAAACGCGTTCAGACTCAGTATTTTTGTTTGTTTTCTGTTTTTCATTGTCGCATTCGGGTGTTTTTTATTTCTTTTCGCCTTTTTCACGCGTCACGTCGCACCGACAACTCCACACGCACGCACATGATAACGTCTGTAAAACACTCACAACTCATAGGATAATATTCCACGGTCGGATTGGTACAAGCAGCAAAACAATAACAATACATTATATAATACGTATACCGTTTACGAAACGGAAATATTATTGAAAAGCAGTAGCTTAAACTGGTTGGTGCAAATGTGGCGGTGCAAAGACATGTTTTTGCACCACCAGAAAATTATTGAAATTTGTATATCTATAATATAATTTTCAAGAGCCAAGGAAATCAGCATACTAAAAACAAAATTTGATTGTTTCTTTTTTATTAATATTATAATAATAAAGGTTTTACTGCTAAAATAATTCAAAATTTATTTGTTATTTAAAGAAATATATGGGAAAATATATAGTTTATTGGGAAGAATTTTACTAAGAAAATTGGAAAATTGGTGTGCTGGAAATTATAAGTTGAGAATATGCCTTTGCACCACCAGAAATTAGATCCAATTTACGTTACTGTTGAAAAGGTTCGCGGATAATTTCACTGACGGATGAGAGAGCTTCCATATCAACGTATGGAACAAGCGACAACGGAAGCCCGAGCTCGGTATAGGAAAAAAAATATGTATATACTAGTATATACACATGTATATACAAAGTTAAAGGTAAATATTAACAGAATAATTTCATATTCGAGTACACAAATATATATATAATATGTTCTAGAATATATTATTTATTTTCCAAGATTTAAGTTAGCGGTGATAGTTTTATAATGATCGTGAATAATACTGTCTGTCTATTAAAATTTTTATTATATATATATATATATATATATATATATATTATATTTAAAGATTTTTTTATTTTACGTCTTGTATGGTTTAAAAAAAAAAAAAATATGAAAAATATATAAATTACGAACTTTAAACATATTTTAATATTTTAAAAAAGATAGATAGAGAAGAGAGAGAGAGAGAGAGAGAGAAAGCCCATCATTTCCTCTTTCACCCACACCCGTTTCACATATACGTGAAAACCTCTGAAGAAAATGATTGATATGCGCATCCGATGGTTATATGTTTATATACTTTCTCAAATCACAAAGCATGCGCGTATACGAACTGTGCGAGTGTGCGGGTGAATTCGTAGCATACCTTAGTCCAAATAACGGCGAACCCCGGGGGGAAGGTCTCGTTATTCGGGAAACGAACGAGACGGTAAAAAGGAGACACGTGCGAGAGACGTATTCGAGATCAGAACACCGGACGAGAAGAAAAGAAAAACACGGAAAACGCGCGAGACGTTTTAGCATCCCAGAGGCTTTAACCACTTCCACCTCTCTCCTCAGCGTTCGATTGCCAGTGTACACATTACACAACATACACACACACACACACACATATATATATATATATATATATATATGTGTGTGTGGTGTATTACGTATCCAGGAAGGTCCCCAATAATAGACACGAATCTATATAAATCGAATAAGGGAGTTTTGGTCGTCGTCGTCCTTGTCTACAAATGATTTCTATCTGAATATTCGACCGTAGTGATCAGAGATACATGTTATACAACGTTATCGTGTATACATTTGCATACACCATTGTCAAGGCTAGACAGAGAAGGAGAATGAATTTTTTTTTTTTGTGAAACGGTTTAGCGTTTTCCTCAAGTTCTTCCATTTTATACATAACGCTTTTCAGGTGAGAAATAGGTATATGTTATATTTTGTAAACGGTATCGCCGTATATATTCAATTTAAAACAATATATTCATATGTATATATAGTCTACGTCGATATTAAAATAATTGAATGGTTCTATACAATAATATAACATGTATATTTTAATATTATACGCCATAAATTATTATTTGTAGTAACAGAACAAAAAAAAAAAAAAAAAATTGTACGTCTATGAATATAATACATACACATACGTATACATTATATATTATTATATTATTATACTAATAGTAAGAAAGAAATAATACAAATTACGAATAATGAGATACTGATAAAATTGCGTAAGGGTTAAAAGTTTGTATATGTGTGTTAATATATGTCTTACATACACATACATTACATATTTTTATATTGTATATGCAGTACATATATTAAGTATATATATATATATATATATATGCTATAAATAATTTTTTTGTTTGTTTTAGTTTGAATCTCTCCTCCGGAGTTCTGGCCAATCACCAACGTATGTATATAAATAAAAATTAAAAAAAAAAAAATGAATATAATATATATATTATAATAATTATTTGGTGACTAGAGCTGAGTAATTTTTGGTGGACATCGCTGGCTCAGGCGCGGGTTACGTACACGAAGGAATATAATATTACGGGAAAACGGTGTGTACTTATGTCGTATATAATACATACATATTTATATATATATATGGTTGTTGCTCCGTTCGCGTGCAAGTTGTGTATGCGTTGTATATCATATTAAATTTATGTAAATTGTATACGATTTAAATATACGGATTCACGTACACAATGTTTACGTATATTATATCATGTTTTCTGATCATACGATCTCGACGAATCACACTAACACGGCTTGGAGCATTGCGGTTGACTTACGCGCACGTTTGCACATGTATGTACCATGTGCGAACTATGCATGCACACAATATACATATACGAATGTATACACGCGTACAACATTTTTAACGTGTACATGTTTAATAAATTAAATTTTTTTTTCTTACAATTTTGGGATTTTTTTTTAATTATAGTTTTTTTTTTTTTAAATTTTTTTTATTTATTAATATGTTATATTTTCTTCATCATTATCTTCGTTTTCTTCGTCTTCGTATTTTGGTCACCATGTCTGTATTAAAAGGTAAAAAGAAAAAAAAACACAAAAATCAGTTTTGATTGTGCTCAAAAAGGTGTTCGTGCGTTTTATCTCACCCACACGACGTATTAATCAGTTAATACTCACGTCTAAAAGACCATTTCGGAAAGTGTGATGCGGCATGTAGAGAGAGCAACGCCACTGTCGCTGGACCCCGACTGTATGCTGCCCGTATCGCTTACCCATCCGGTCACATCGATTTCGTCTGTCGGAAAAAAAAATTACATTAATTGATTAGCATCTTATTGATTAAATTATGTATATTATGCAAATATAATTCAATACATTGTCTAAGGATTCCGGATTAAATATATTTATGGAAAAAAAGATTTAAACAACATTACGCAATAATATAATGTAAAAATTACTGTTTTTTAATCGTACTATAATTAATAATAAAATAATAAAACAAATGCTTAACCATGAATATTATTATATTTGTAATGTATGACTGGTTTCGAATAAAAATTCATCATTAGGTGCATACAAAGTTCAGAAAATCACGACTGAATATGAAAAAAAAAGTATGTGTTTGTATATATCTGATGATGAATTTCAAACTCGAAACTGGTCGTACATTGAAAATATAATACTCCAGGTTAAGACTTTATGTAAAAAAATTGTTAAAAACATAAGTTCAAATCCGATGCATCGATTATACAATAATTAAAGGGTGAGAAAATGCTTTGAACATTTTTATTGAATATTCTCAAGGCTAGACAAGCGCTTTAGTTAAATGCTTGTGGATAAAATTTCTGTATAAACAATAATTTGAATCAAAAAATAAGATCAATTCAGGTGGCTTGGATTACAACATATTATATTAATCGGTGTACAGTGATACGGACTGAGCCGACCTTGTGACGTATAACAATTTTCCGTATCGATATAATAGTCATATGTACATGCATGCATGCGTGCGTGCGTGCGTGCGTGTGTGTTTGTGTATATGTGTATGTAAGTAGGTGATAACTATATATATATATATATATATATATATAGAATACAATTTACAATTAATATATTAGTCGGTGGCGGAAATCCATTAATCTCCGACGATGACGACGGCGGCGGACGTGGAGAAAAAGAAACAAGAAATAAAAGAGAGATGACCGAAGTAATAATAATAATAATTCTAATACCAGGGAAACAAAAAGTGGCGGCAACAGTATGAAACTGATGCGCAAAATTCAAGTGCGCATCCGTGCGAATTCGTATTCTCGGGGCCGATTTATCGGTTAAAAGGACCGCGGGTGGAGGTTTTGGGTCGATTTATTACCGATGCAATAGGTGTCGTCGTCGCCCACCGTCCTCCGGAGAATAAATCTTTTCCCGCTGGTTAATTGCATTCGTCTGCGGTACGGTCGCCCGGACTCGGTGCTCTTTTTTCATAACCCTTTCTACCTCCCTTCTCCATGGGTTCCCAATGGTCGTTTTAACGCCGGCAGCTACACGACGATAACTATTATACATCGTCGTGTCGTCGTTTCCCTGTGTCCTTTTCGATGTCATGCACGCAAGAGGGGGTTGGGGTGAATTAATATTACACGACACGAGGGTAGTAAAGTAGCGGGAGCAGCACTAGTACTAGCACCAGTAGTACGTGAATACGAGATACATACGCGCCACAGGGACTGCTGGTAACACCACCGATTCTTGTCGTAAATCATACGAGCAGACCCAACAGATATACGCGAGCACACAGCTCACATAATTTATATGTGTATATATATATATATATTATTTACGTTATATAAAGCGCACGTTTTTCGGGAGCAAGAAAAAATATAATAATAATAATACTAAAATAATAATAATAATAATGACGACGGTGACGACTGTATATAATAAAAACGGCAACGTCAAACGTTATACGTATATGTGTACAGAAAAAGCATATATATATATATATACTCGTATATATACAGTGTATGTGGTGAAATTCATTTCGGGGTGGGTTCCGTAAATAATGCGCATAGTTTTTAAACGCTATAAATTACACGGGGACCGAACTGCTGCTGCTGTTTTGCAGTTGTTGTCGTTGTTAAGGCCCGTTTTGATTTCCGGCGCGCGCCCCGCCACCACCCCTTTTTGCATGCCTCCTCATCGTCTACCGGTTTTGATTTATCCCAGTTTCGGCTGGGTGTTTTATTTTTTCCTGTCTCCTTCCACCACCCCGTTCTTATCCCGTCTTGTTTGCCCAACCAACGACCCTATCTACCCTCTCCGTATCATACCGCACTATACCACCGCTTTTCCGGAGGTGCGACGTGAAAACGTATTTTCTTTGAATTTCACGATTTATGTCAAAACACGCACACACGCACGCACATATATATTTATATACATATATACATGCACAAACACATTCGTGCGTTATATAGATGATGGTTTTTAAATCTAAGCGTTTTAATATTAACATTGATCGAAGTTTAACAATTTTTAACAAAAAGGAATCTTTATCACAGTGACCTCCGTAAGTGCGTGACATTACAGTGGACGGAATGTCAAAATAAAAATGTTAACTCCGCGCGATATTTGGTTATGTATACTTTGGTTTGGATCATTATCAACTTTTATGTCATGGAAAAACGATTTTAGCGATACATGTTTTATGAATTTGTCAAACAAACTATTATAACATGTATTGATTTTAACAAAAAATAATACAACATATGATTTACTTTATCATATATATATTTTACGCATATGTTTTGAAAACAGGTAAATATTATACTTAGACTGAGGTATAAAATTATTCAAAAATGCATAATAGATTGGTAAAACTATGGTCTGGGCTAAGTATACAGTGTTATGCAGTTTCATAAAATTATTAAGTTGAAAAAAAGTATAATTGATCAATATAAACGAATTTATCGTTTATTGTATAATTAATAAATGTATTAAATCAAGAAGCATTTTAAAAACAATTTTATAATAAAATTTTAACGATAAACCTAATCCGTTTGCTTACTGTAAGTCAAGATGAACCGAATCAATAAATTTGATTGATAAAAACTAAAAATGTATATAAGAGTTCTCAATCATGAAAATGCGTTGGGATAATATTAACAATATGGTCGTTAACTTTCATTGTGATAGCTTCTGATACGGGAAGGTTGATGATCAAAGTCGTGTTACACCAACTTGTGCAATGATAAGTTATAGGCAACATGTGTATGATGTATTTCTTCGTCTGGATCGTAAATCGACCTAGAAACATTTTATACCGCCTTAAAAACGCGAGAGAACTATCGTTCAACAAAACGAACACACGGTATTAAATTTTGGTGAAAGTGGACTTTTCTTTTTGTTCTGTGACGAATGACTAGAAAAACCGTTGTCATGTTTTGTTATCGATCACGAAGCCACAAAAGTTCTATGGCCGCTATAGAAACGGTGATAATTCAGGAAATTAATTAATCTTTAATTGATAAAAACGAGGAAGTAGTAAAATATAAGTGAGCTTTAAAATGGTGATGATGTGAGATAATTAAGAAGGAATAAATTTTTCGATGATACCTTGAATAATTAACATATTTTTTAAAGTTAAGATAGTTAAATTCATGATGCATAAATAAAAAAATGCAAAGTAATAATATTATTCTAATAAATTATAAAAATACAGATTTTTAATAATAGATGATACATAAATAAGTGTTATGCAAATACGAAAAATCTTCTTAAAACGATGTAAATAATACTGCCACGGAAATAATTATTCCAATGTTCATCAATGTTTTTATAAAAAAAAAAAAAAATTGATCTTTATGGAGATTAACTTTTACCCAAGTCCAATTAAAAGATCTAGTTTAGTCTACGATGATATATAATTGTTATTGATGGTGTGATAAAGTCTTGCACAGTCAATATGTATTATACTCGTAATTGTGTTGAATTTTTCTCAGAATAAGAAATAACTGCAAAAGTAGGTAGTAACAAATAATACACAACAAAAAGTATATTGAAATTATTTTAAAAATATACACATTTAAATACTGAACATTTAAAATACTAATATTTAAATAACTGTGTCTGAAAAAATATTACAATTTGGGTGTTTTTCCATGCAGTAAACTACGGTACTTCGACAGAAAATGTATTTTAGATTAGATTATGGTTTAAATATTGTATTTGTAATGGCTCTCATACACATTTTGATAGTGAATAAGTACATTTATCTATATACTATACTAATATGACGGTCGCAGGTTTCAATAAAGCAAAAACGGATTTATAATGGTTTAAAGCGGGATAAAAACTTTTTGGCAATGGTTCGAGCGGCGGGCCTAAGTGCTAATTGATAAGTAATAAACGATATCGATTACTTGAGGTGAGACCTGGGCATAGGGGTAAGTTCCTGCTGTAGTAGGACCCTGTGCGGTGGGGGATGGACAAGAGGAGAGCAGTACGATAAAATTTCGAGCGAGACCGGACAAAAGACCTTTGGGGCGCAATTAAATCGTGTGCATAGCAAGGATTAGGGTCATCGGAGTACTAAAACTTTTCTTATTTCCTTGGCGGGCGGATATTTTATGTGGCAGCAGCAGTAGCAGCATCAGGGAGGTGACGGTGGTGCACGGTTAAACCGTCCAAATTACTCGGGAACGATTTAAAACGACAATGTCGGACGTATTTCCGTCCGTAGAACCATTCGACCGGTTAATGGAACAGGAAATTGAGCACATGGAAAAATATATACGAAATACGCGTCGAAAACGAGATGCCACTTTTCCACCACCACCGCTTGTCCTTCACCTGCCATGTTTTCTCGTCGTTATTCGCTCTTATTTTTCTTCTCTTTTTTTCTATCCTTTGTCCTTCCAGCTGGCCACCACTATCACTGCCATCAAATTTTCTTTATCCGTCTCAAAACTAATAACACTAAAACCACGCGCGTGCGCGTCATCATACACGCACAAAACTTTCTACCTTTCTTTCTCTCTTTAATACGTCATTATCCGTCTAAACTGCTCCCACCCGGACCTAAGTCTCACAGTCATAAAACGTCAAAAACGTTTTCTCAAAATTACCTCAATACGGAGCAAACAAAACAGACTTCCAGTGAACTAGCATTTATATACCTATAGCCGACGAAGAAGTTTATACATTTCCCCCCATTTTTCACCAGACTCTTGCGGTTTTTAATGTACATTTTCGCAATTATTCTATGTCTACGTCAAAGGTTTTACTCTTGATGACATGTTTATCAGGTAAAAAGGATGTCTAAAAAATACATCATAGTTATTACGACATACATTCGAGAACAACAACCGCGTGAATGAGTTCATACAGTGAATCTGGACGATTGTTGGTCACAAGCGGTTTTTCTTTTTAAACAAATCGAAGGTGCTATAGGAGAATAAACGAGTTTAATTATTTCATTTTCAGAATAAAAACGCACGTATTGAGTTGGCAAAACTAATCGGTTATAAGCTAATATTACTAATAATATACGTTTATTATAGTTATATTATTATTAATATTAGTTAAGTTAAAGTTAAGTTATATTATTGTTAGTTTATTATAAAACCCATTATAAGGCTAAAATTCAACGCTGCTATTATAATTATTTGTACATCGCTGTATATATATATATATATATACTCGATTAAATAAGTTTAAATATTTTATAACCAGCTACTCGTCGCAGTAAAATTAATTTCCGCTTCTATGTTATTCAAGTCTCTAATGAATGGCTAATTACGCAGAATTGTCGTTTTTTTTGTTTTTATTGGTGGAGGGGGACCTTTAAGCCGAATTTAATGACGTACTCTTTCCGTAACGATGAGTAGGAGGAGAAAAAATTGGCCTTCTCATCAATCCTCTGGCCTTTTAATTTCGTTTCTGTCAGTTGGGGAAAAAGGATGAAAAACCTTCCGAGCATTATTTGCTGAGTTTATTAATGAAATTAACGAGAGAAAATGCGAAGAGACGTGACCCCGTGGCCTTTGAATGACCCGTGCTAAGATATTCACTCGAAAAACAATTGCGGAGAAATTAGTTAATTTAAACGAGTTGAATGCGTTTGCCTCTGCCGCGCAGTACCGCGGCCGAACGGTTCATGCGGGCGTTGCCCCAAACAACAGCGTGGAAGGATGGATAAAAAGCTGGTTCAAACTAATGAGGAATGTCGACTAACGAGCTAAGAAGTGCATTTTTCCCTATCTTCACATTTTATCTCGTGTTTTTTTTTTTTTACATTTTTACGTAATGAAAGTTCTTATTTAATATTCGTTTTTATGAGAAAAACGTAACATTTGCACGCGTCCAAAAACTATTTGATATATTTTTTTAAGACTTCTCACCATACCAACTCGTCTGAACAACTTGAAAATACTCCAGAAAAAAGAAGAAAAAAAATAATTCCTTCCAATGCTATTTTTTAAAACGAAATTATTTATAAAAAATACATTTTTAAATATAAAATTGAAGTTTGTGAATTGTTGTCGTTTTTAGTTTTATAATTTAATGTTTATATATTACATGAAATAAAGTATAGATTCTATGTAATTCTGAGATACAATAAGAATTGACGGATGATTTTGAATGCTAATTTATATGAATATAATTCCAATCCACAAAATTGAGAGTACAATATTTTTCTTTATAATAAACTTCATTCAAAATTAAAAATAGAAATTATAAATTTATTAGATGCCAAGCATTATTTTTGTATACAACCATGTTTTATTGATATAATTGTATATAAGAGTCTTATAATGAAGATGTTTGAAATTATATAAATACTTTTTCGTATAATAGCGGTATGGTGCCCGGCTTAAGGGAGGAAGGAACATATTTTACGAACGCTGAAAACATCTATTTTGTGTATGCATAAATGAATACGAATACGTTATAATCTTTTTCTCGTAATGAAATAAAACAAATCACTAAAATAGGTTAGTAGATGGCAGAGTATGGTTATATAAGCGAATTTCAATTACTATGTGCAATATGAAAATTAAAGCTTTTTTTTTGTTTTCATATGCATACACATATAATACAGTGCACTAATCGAATATATTACGTACGTATAGTACGATATGTATATAGACTTATAATGATTTTAGCACATAGGCGCGTATAATTTAATTAAAACGCTTTCTATCACATAACACTATCTGTTGAAGGGTTTCGTTGCGCATGGGCGGTAATGCGGTTAGAAAATTGTTCGCACAGGAGTCATTGTCGTCGACCTTCACCATGAAAATTCTTATACCGCCATATATTTCATACATATAGGTATTATTTTATATGTCGCACGATGTATTGCTACCGATATATCGATGACAATATAATGTCATTTGCGTACTCACACTACATATAACTCGTACGTAGACACGAATTGTATATTTATTTATTATAATTCCATTTGGTTTAAAAATGTAATCTTACGCGAAGAACGTTGTGTAGGTGACACTATATACTATATATTGCAGCGTACATTGTAACCACATATTGTCTATATATAAGTACTGACAAGTATCATGAGTATATTGGTATATTGGCTGGGGGTCGAGCACACGCCATAGGAAGCTAACTATATATATACATATAGACGACTGAACGTATACAGCGTTGACCTCTAATGTTTATTTTTAATTGAAAATCGTTATCGCAAACGTGTAATATATATACATTCCCTGGAGAGGGCGCACGTGGCATACTGCAGGGCGATTCGTCGTCAACGCGTTATACGGTCGTTTTCCAATATCCGATACTTTACCGTTTTTCGTTTGTTATTTTATTTACACGAAAATCGTCGTTTTGGCATTCAAATGTTTTTAAAACGTTAAATTCGACTTTTATCGTAAAAAAATAGTATACTTTTGGGATATTTAAATACACTATCGAATTATGGATAATTTATCATTGATTAATTATTTTTGAACAAAAATACTCTGAAATTTAAAATATAAAATTAAAAGTAACCAGATTTAAGGTTTAAAAACAAATTCGCACAAAAATCTAAAAAATTTTATGTAAAACTAATTAATAGTGTCAAAATTATTTTAAAACCAAGAATAAAGATGATTAAAAATTAACCGAAAATATTACTGAAATACAGAAAATTTGCCATTATTTAGTATAATTTAAAGAATTCTATATAATTAACGTATAAGGCCATTTAAAATGAAATTTAAATACATAAAATATTACATTATTATTTAAAATTTAACCTGCAAGCATTCAGTAATTTGAAAAATATTTCAGATACAGCTTAAAGGCATACATATACCCCTTGAGTTTCAGATTTGTTACCCCACGGTTGTATTTTAATCCAACGGCGACTCATGTAATTACTGGTTAAGTAGCAGACTTATAATAACTATAGAGATTAATTTGAGAGTATCCCTTGCGCATTCTCGGGCGCGTCCGACCGTTTTCACTCATATTGCGAGTCAGAAATAATTTCGGATCGATTGAGTGCGAGGGGTGCATGCGTTGTCAGGGGTTGTTATACCAAGAATCAAATCACCCTCATTCATGGATACTCCACACCTCCTCATCACCAAAATCTATTTACAGAACGTTGCCCACCATTAAGGAATGGCCGACGACGTCTATATAAAACATATTATTTAAAAATTTGCTCACGGAGGAACCTTTGGAGCTGACATAATTGAAAAAATCTGTAAACACTGGTAGGATGACTCAAAATAGGAAGAAGAAGCGGGTATTATTTTTATGAGTAAAATTACCCGATTCAGATATGGATGGTGATGAAGACGTGCTGCACGCAGATGAAGAAGTGGACGCGCCAGACGCAGTCGTGTAGCTGCTGGACTCGGACACAGATCGACGTTTGTTCACGTTCAAATTAGTGGTCAACTGGTCAAGTCTCCGCATGAGATATCTGTGCTCTCGGCTCAAGGTGTCCTTGTGCATCATGTGTTTTTTTTCTTGCGATTCCAAGTTCTGCGAAGAAAAAAAATAATATTTAATTAATTGTTGTTCATTATTAACATGTTATTATTTGGGGTCAATAAGTATATTCAATTTTAATTCAAAATAATCGACACATATTTAATAAAAATCGTAGTTCAAAAATTTGTAATATTTAACGAATATTAAACTTGTAATATAAAATTAACTTGCAAAATACGTTTTTCTTTGTCATGTATATACAAGAAAAATAGAAAACCAATTTTTAAAAAAAAAAATATGCCATATAATACATGGCAATAAAAAAATGACATAAAAATAAAATTAATGACTGTAATCGCGGAAGTAAATAGAAAAATAAAGCAATAGATATTAGACAACTTTTATCCGAGTTCGATAGGACTTTGTATGCAACGCCCATGATCATGATTGTTTTACATCGAACACTAATGAATTATAATCGTTTTTTAGTAATAAAAGAAAAATTACTTCGTTTGTTATTATAAATCCTAGCCCTCCCCACCCTCTGACTATGTAATATATTATATACAAGCAAAGTAATTTTTCATTTACTACTAAAAACCGATTGTAATTTATTAGTGTTCAATGTAGAACAATCATGGGCGTTGCATACAAAGTCCTTTCGAACTCGGATAAAAGTTGTCTGATATCTATTGCTATATTTTTCTATTCACTAACGGTCGTTAATTTTATTTTTGTGCCATATTTTTTTTTAGCATACGCACTTTTTTAAGTCGGTATTTTGTCAATTGGTTAAGGAAATAATCCGTACACTCGCGTATACGCGAAGAGGTAAGTTGCGGGGAATAGTTTCAATCGAAAGGCGAATGGTTTGTTTTTACGAGCACGTAAAGAGCACTTCGACCGAGTTCATTGTAAGTCCAAGACGAGAAAAGTTGAACGTCTAATAATTTATTACAGATCTAAGGTTACAGAACGGTTACAGAACGGCTTGAGTTATCGTGCGCACGCATAACTCTTCCGTGCAATATTAAACGATTAATAACGAATGACTTCCGAAAACGCGCATTCGTCGTACACAGATACAGTGCGAAGGAATTAATAATCTGACGATGGCGACGACAATGACAACGACGACGACCTCGTTGGCGAAGCAAACATCCGTTTCGAGGACAGTCCCGAGTTCCGCACCATGGCCGTGGCCTGTACCCGGAAAACATACAAGTACGCGCCCGAGGGAATGGAATTAAAGCCTATTGTCTTCCTTAGCGCACAATTGCAACGAAGGGGGATGTAAGAGTTGAAACGTTCTATAAAGGTTTAAGGGTGTATTTCCGCACATACAGTTCGGAACACATGCGTATACAGAGTGGTTCTTTAAACGCAAAATAGGTTAAGTGCAACAAAGAAAAATAGTAAAATATAGTTTAATAATTTCTTCCACTATTCTTAGTCAAATCTTTAAGGGTTATAGGATTTATAATATGCCATAAAATATGATAAATTGACATTTAAGTTACAAAACATTTTTAAAAGTTCTAAATCTAAAAAAAGATCTAATATTATTAAAAATATTCATGAACTAACATAAAACAATTAAACAATGTTTTACATTTTCAAAACTTAATGATCTTTTGTTAGACCTTAATTTGTTTTAATATTTGCTAAAATTTCGACATCAGACGACGAAAATCTAGCGTATCAGCATTTGATTACTCTTCTAAAAGTCCCCACACACTGCCGCGGTGGCGATAAAATTGTACCCAAATATTGAAATGGGAGCACACTAAAGCGGTAATTTGACCGCGATATTTTTAAAAAAACCGGGCAATGCTTGATTTTACTACCACCGCGCAGTGGTATTTCCTATTGACATTCTTAATTTTTCCATAAAATCAATGTTTGTACTTCAATTAAATTTATATTATTAATAATTATTTTAAATTATTTAATATTACACTGTAAGATTATGAAAATATGTATAATCATACGAAATTAAAAATTATTATTTTTTATTCATTATTAACTAATTTGTTTTTGTATACTAGTAAGTGAATACCATGTATTATTAATGAAAGGGTACTATAGGTGCTTAAAATATGATTTAAAAAATACAATGAAATGTTTAAAATCTTCATAGTTATTTATTATATAATTTCTCAATTTATGAGAAAGCAAGTCACGCATATCTAGATCGAATATGTGTTCGAATGAAATTGAATTTTTCATTGTTTATTATAAGTCAAAATTATTTGATCAAAAGGCTCATGTTTAGTTTAGTCATAACTTATTTGAGATAAATGCTGTGATTAACATGTGCAGTGTATAATAAGTATAATATATTATTTAAAAATTGAAAATAATTCATATAAAACTAATCAATATAATATAATATTATGAATATAATATGTATAATAGTAAAAGTACATAATATAATATTAACGTACTATATAGTTAAATCGTCAATTTATCAAATCATATATTATATTAGATAGGAACATACAATTATTTTATGTTATACATAAATTTATTACGTTTATACTGGACAAAAATCGTCAGCGCCACCGGTGTGTGGAGACCTCAAGTGTTAGATTTAAGAAACTTCATAAAGATTATTTCCATTTAAATATGACGTGTTATAAAAAACAGTCCAGTAATTTTTCATCATTTTTTTAATTTCTTATAAAGCTCAAGTAACTTTATATACATGCTAAGTTATTTTTTATACTTCGATTTTCATTTAAAGTTTTAAATCTTATCGAGTTAGCAGTATTTTCATCTTATGACAAAATCACTGATTTTACGGATTTGAAGTTGTCAGCATTATATGATGTGGCATCTAGCCAAGTTCCCTATTGTGTAAGTATAGGTTGTGAAAGCTGGGTTAATTCTGAAAATAAATCTCACAATTATAACACACAACTCAGTGCTTTTAAAATACATTTTTTAACACGAATTATTATGTTGTTGGAATTAGAATCTCGAGCTTAATTGTTTTACACATTCAATAAACTCTATTATTTTGCAATAGTAATTAGTGTTATTGAACTTTTATTTATTATAACTTTTTTTTATATTTTATGTAATGAAAAGATTTGAAACAACATACATCAACACATAAACCACATGTTCACACATAATGTACGAAGATAACTTTATTAAAATATATACTAACTTTTACCCGTATGTTTCTATACAGTTCAGTCATTAATCGTACAACAGGTTACTTTAAGCCGTTTGAGTATGTGAAGATAAAATAAATTAAATTAAATTTAGGTATTTTTGTATATCAATGAAATATATGCAAAGAAATATTCTTTAAAGCATGCATTTTTGCGTTTTTTAGTAAAAATATGCAATATGATGAGTTTAAATCAAAATAGGCGAAACAAATAATATACCAATATATATAAAGCCTAGCTACAGTTAATGGCTATAATAAATACACTTCTATATTTGATATTCATTAAAATACAAAATGTAATGGTTTATTGTTGTGTATTTACCTTTAAGGTACTTAGTTAAAATTATCGGTTGTCATTGGTAAAAGAAAAAACTTGATATTTTATTTTTCAACAATGGAACGGTTCATAATATTTCAAGAATTTAAATTAATTGTATAGTCATAGAAGTCAAAAATAGGTTGTATGTAAGATTTTTTATTTTAGATTTTTTGAAAACGGTAAATTTATAATAAAACAAATTCGACGTCGGTGTACAATAATAGTACATAAAAAACAAACTATGCCCCGATGTGTACGTATTAACTATATATTTTCGACTTTTTAGTCAAATTTTAATATTTAAGAATTGGCAACGTGGGTAGTTTTAGTAAAATATTCGAAAGCGAGAGGTTGAAACATTCAATTTGACCAATGACTATGAAAAATTTTTTATGCTTTAAGCGATATTCTAAAAGTTCTTTCCATTTTAATCTTTACTCATAAAGGCATATCTTTATACGGGGTTCAGTTTCATATTTATTTTTTTTAGAGGTTGGATTGTTACTACGGGGAACGTTTTAAGAAACTGTTAAATTAATGTAAATTTAAACTTATATTATACATATATGTATGTGATTGTATTTGTAATTGTTTTTATTGAGCACAAAATCAAGGGTATCAAAACTGACCAGTCCGTCGGTTGTGATAAATCTTCGTAGTTTTCATCTATTTAAGTCGGTTTTGTTGAATTTTTTATATTATTATTATAATATATTTATATAATTATTATAATAATAATTGTAATAATAGTAACATTAAGAATAAAAATAAAAATAATTCTACATAATAATAACATTTTTTTTTTTTTCATGGCTGCGAACACAATCATTTATAAGGCGGCGCTATGTATAGGCAATCTAGCATCATATCTGCTGCCAATATCGCGAAAACGACGTTAGCTCAAACAATAATTTGTATTATATTTTAATTATTTTTAAAAATATCACTCAGACGAGGAAGAGTATAGTTAAATATATTTACAATATATATGAATAATTAGTGTTTACATAATAAATACAAATAATAAATATAAAACATTACGAAATGAGATTTAAAAAATAGATGTAATATAAGATAAGGAAAAGAGGAAAAGAAAAAATTATATAATAGTAGTACTAATTGTAACTGTTAGAACAATGAATAAAGACTTTCAAAATTCAAATCATAATTTATTACTAAGCTACACGGAAATATTGTTATATTTGTTAGATTAATGCATTTAGTTTATTATCTCGAATATACTGGTAAATCTTTAAAATAGGTTGATTTCGTGTACGATAAGAAAATGTACTAACATTTATCTCGGAGAAAATTTATGGGCAATAATAATAATAATAATTAAAGTAACGAAGTACAATTTTTAACGATAGAAAACTGTGTTTCGACTGTGTGTTCGACGGCGATAGTGTGCTGTTTTTTATTTGCTCGAAATAACACGTCTTCATCACTACGAGCCCCCTAATCGTATAATTTGACGTAGAGGCACGCATGCCGGTAATTTTTTTTAGCTTTTTATTTATTTACATTTTATCATAACTCGATAATAAT